ATCTACAGTTTATTTGTGGGACATTGAACCTCTCTTGTTATCATAAACACGTACGACTGTAAACATTCACAGCCTGCACACATTTTGCACATTTGAAAACAAGTCACACGCCCACTGTCTCCTTCCACTTCCTGTTTTCACATCAAAGTCACCAGGAGCCTGACGGTTTCTTTATTTGCCGGTGTTGTGTCAGGTCAGCATACCCCGACAGACCAGCATGCCTGTAGTTTACAGTGTATTTTTCGTACAAAACTAAAGGGATACTCGCGCGTTGAGGTAGTTCAAAGTGTATTTAGAGAAGGGTCTAGCTGCACCTGCAGCCATCTACTGTACAAAACGCGTCCCCGTACAAAACACACCTCCCGCCCAGCCAATCGTTGATTTTGATTTGGACATTACGTCATCTTGGATACAGATTAATTGAAGTGAATCAAACGTGAGCATGATGCTAACTACCAGCAAGGTTGTAGTTAGCACATAAAAAAGTAATGATAGTCTTGTTCAATGTTGGGATTAAAGGAACAGTTCAATCGATGATCAAATTTATGTAAAATTTTGCCACGTATATTATTTGCTTATATCTTCTAATTTTCCAGGGACTGCACATGCTTTAAATACGAAATTGTTAGAAATAGCATTTCTAAGTTAATTTGTAAACAAAAGTACTTGACTTTCGGTGTTGTTTTCCGGAAAGTTTGTGTGTTTACCTTAAACTACAACCTTTTGTTTATCATATCACGCATAGTGTAGTCTAGTAAACTTCGTCAATGTTAATCTCTTAGATTTCTGCTAAAGCAGGGGTGTCAAACTCAAAAAGACAGTGGGCCAAAATTTTAAACCTGAACAAATTAACCTTTTAATATGGAACCAAACAAATTTTGCTTTAACATTGACTATGGAACAAGCAACTCTTATTACATTATAGTAATAATGGAGCTTAATAGTGGAGACATGCAAAATCAAATTAAAAACAAACAAACACATAAATGGCATTCATTTATGAAATAAAACTTTAAAACATTTTTCTATTTGAATGAAATATCTAAATAAAATTTGCTCGTCCAGAAAGCTCCTGTTTTCTGCCTTTCTTTTGTTCGTTTTTCGTAGTAATTTGGTATTGTCTCGCGGGCCGAATATAATCACAACGCGGGCCAAATCTGGCCCACGGGCCAGAGTTTGACACCCCTGTGCTAAAGGTAGCGCATGCATATTAACTATGGGTATCCTGGTCTGACGGGGTATGCTGACCTGACAGAACACCGGTGGGTTTTGCAGGATGTCTGCCTCCAGACCCGTGCCGGGCCACGCCCTTCCGGGCCACGCCCTGACCCGGCTGGCCAGGGATTGGCTGGCGGAGGACACGCCCGGTTTTGACCCGGCGGGGGTGTGCGTGGGCTCGGGGGAGCTGGAGGCCCGGTTGCTATGTAAGACGCCCCACACGGTGCTGGCGGGGGCGCCGTTTTTCACCGCCGTGTTCACGGAGGTGGGCTGCTCCGTGGAATGGATCTACCAGGAGGGAGACCAGATCGGTAGGAAGCCACAATACCTACATACAAGTCCAAGGCCATTTTGATTAGGTCACCAATAGGAAGATCCCAGGCAAGAAAATCCTAATTGCTTCATGGCAATATAGACATTATTTAAAAATAGTGAAATGAATCTAGCAAACACTGAATTCAACTCTATCCATATTATTATGTTAAAATAGTGGATGTTAAATAGTCCAAACAATAAGTACAATTATTGTACTTGTACTTTATTGGTACTATTAGTTTGGACTTATTGTACTTTATTAGTACAATAAGTCCAAACAAGTTTAACCAGAAAATATTTATTTCTCACAATTATGAAGGGTTAGGGTTAGGGTCAGGGTTTGGGTTAGGGTTCCAATAAAGCTGCCATTATTCCACTATTATTCCACCTCAGTTATCTTCATGAAAACCAAAAAAAGGACAAAGTAATCCTGATTGTGATTCTGAGTCTGTTTCTGATCAGGTTCTGTGTGAGGACGTTTCCAATTATTATTCCACTATTATTCCACCACAGAATTCTTTCTAAAAGCTGAATTAAAAAAAAGAAAAAAGTCATGAATAAATAAAGTAATCCTGATTCTGACTCTGACTCTGATCAGGCTCCATGTGAGGAAGTTTCCTATAAAGTTGCCATTATTTCACCTCAGTTTTCTTCATGAAAACTGAAAAAAAGTATTAAATAAATAAATGAAAAAAGTCATCCTGATCCTGATTCTTATTCTGATTCTGATCAGGTTCTGTGTGAAGACGTTTCCAATTAAGTTGCCATTATTCTACTATTATTCCACTAACTAACTAACTAACTAACTAACTAACTAACTAACTAACTAACT